TACGTGTATTTTGTTTTAAATTGCCATTTTGTTTCTTGGGTATTTTTTGTTCCTTGCTACGCTGTTGAGTAAGTCTTCCCGTCCAACTTTATCTCGTGCCTGCAGACCTGCTACGGCTGCCACCACGAACCGGCACATGAGACAGAGAAGCATAAGAGATTGCAAAGCATTCATGGATCGATCAGGAACACGTTCAGTACAGTATTGGACAGCATGCATATATATTCTTGGTTCTTTCGGTAAAGTCACGTAGAAGGGAAACAAAAAATATATATAAAACAATAAAATTCTCAGGACGTGTCGACTGCAACACAAGCAATCATCATCAGGTGTGAAAACCACAGCAAGAAAATTTGAAAAAAAAGCATACATATAGTTTCGCGAAAGAGACTGAAATATAACATTAAAAGTACTCCCCTCTTTAAAACGCCACCCATGAGCAAAATGCGTATACTATGTAACGTGGCTGATTTCCTTTGCTCGTTACCAATTTGAGTGTTTTTGACAACAGCTTTTGGTCACGTGTTCTGGAAAAAATAAGGTGATGGTTATTGCAAAAACATTTTTGAAGTTTTCACGTGCAAAAACAAAGACTGTGTTATATTCTTAGCTCTTTCGGTAAAGTCACGTTGAAGGGAAACAATAAAATAATAAAATAAAACAATAAAAAAGACTGTTAGCTTAAGATGATACGAAAAATCAGACGATGTATGTTGAACTTCTTTCGAACCGTACGATGTGACTAGCAGGTGGAACAAGTGTAACTGCAGCTGCAGAATGTTACCGTACACATTGACAACGTTATCAAGGGGTGTGCAAGGAGCACAAAAAATAGCAGTCAATTGCAAAAATTAATCAGGGGATATGGCCCCGAAATAGGTTTGTCTTGTCAATTAATTGAAACACTGTCAACTTGTTGACTGTTATATTTGAGCTACATTTACAAGCTGTGGAGATGTATTATTGTCCTATGAACAGCTATATTTCACATTGTACCGAGGATGCCTTTGTAACATCTGGCACACGTGTTTTACTAGCAAACACTCAGAACCCGGGAAGTGGGAACATGTGTTTCCTACAGCAGAATGAGGTGTGGTCAAAGTTGCACGCTGTAGTAATGCCTCGTGTTTCTTAAAAGCCAACAGACCACCTTTGACATTAATTTGTCTGCATGGTGTGAAGAATGCAGCTTAAACATGGTATATAGTATTGGATGAATATGCAATAAACAGACAGGAAGTCGTTGTTGCAACTACTGTACTGTATTTTTTTAAAAACAGACAGGAAGGACATTTGTCTACTTACATGTTTTTGTTTATAGGCCTCTAGGCCTACTTGACCAATGTTTTGCAACAGCATTTACTTCGGCAAGAAAACTCCACCAGTGTGTACCGTCAGGGTCTCATCGGAAAGGATTGGTCAAAAATGTATCATGGGAACCACATGGTAAATGACGCTGCATCATATCCTGGGTTAAGTTGTCATTGTCACTTATTGTTAGCCCTGTGCATGAATCAAACTCCAGGCACTGTAATTCCAGTGTAATGCATTAACCAGTGTGCCAACTACTACGCCATATCATTCTGGTTATCAGCAGCCATGGCCTATCAACTACTGGATAAGGGCCTGCCCATTATCACCATCCCTCATGGTCTTCACGATCCATCTAGCTCCTGCACAGGATCCATCTAACTCAGGGGTCGACAACCAAAATAATAATAGGAGACATTTAAAAACAAAAATTCGGTAACAAAAAATATTTCAAGAGCCGCAACGCATGCGAATATGAGACGGTGGTCCTTAATCAATAACGTCACCAATCAGTCCTTAAAGAGACGTATGTGGTTCCGGAGCCACAGATTGCCGGCCCCTGTGCTAGGTGGACATAGGCAGTGGAAATTAAGTAAATGTACCCATTGTTTCCACGGCCACGTCAAGAGATAGAACCGGTGACCTAAGGATTGCAAGTGTGCTAACAACCATTAAACCATGGCAACAATAAACAGTAAGCAGAGCAAGATAGTGAATTCACTGATGGTACCTCCGATTAGCACGGTTGGCTCCATACGGTGCGAAAAAAGTTCAACATAATTACATTGAAACTACCCTTCAGCCACGGTGAACATTCATGACAATGCCTCCATAAAGCAAAGTTGAATTTTTTTTTACACTTTTTTTTGATGCTCCTGAAATTTTATGCGCTTTGTTTCAAACTGGCAGATATTGAGAAGTAACACATAGGAGTTAACATCAAGGTCAAGTTACTGTTTTCGGTTGACTCAAAAAACAAAACACACACACGGTAGCTGATTTAAGCCGATTGACATCCCAGGAGTAGTTTGTGCCTTGAACAAAATGTCACATGTTGTATATTCAAGGAAGACAGCATGCTACTACCGTTGCTACATCTCATTAAAAGTTTCACTCGGTGTCGTGTTTTTCCTTACATGGAAAATACTGATTATATACAACGTACAGCCAATGACAATCTATATACCTCTTCTATCATGCCTACACACACGGTACAACCATTTTAATGAGCCTATTTGGCAGGTTCCATGAGCTTCGTTTAGGCCCTGTAGTTTATATTAATTATTGGGCACGTCATGAATGTATGTACCCTTCATGCATTATGCAAACACAAACATAATGCTGGAAGAGGTCAGTGTTTGGGATAAGATGGATGACTGGCAAAACACTGGCCATCACTTCGCCCAATATACCAATGTTGGAAAGGGTTTTGTGAATCCAATGCCTACTGCTCTTATATTCAATATTGTGCCATGATGACCTTAGCAGACGGTTCTTTCTACACTTCTTGGTTAGTCATAAGCTCAACTAGATAGCCATCACCTGTAACAGCACCCTCATATGTCCAGTATACTGTACATGAAAGTCGGTATGTGTTTAAAGTTGAGATAAAGATTAACAGTTAATTATGGCTAATGCCAGTCTCGAAACTTCTGCATTCCTTCCTCCCCCTTTCGGATGTGAGACGTTAATGCTTCATCACGAAGTTAATAACGGATGAATTATGCGAAGTGAAGTGTGGTGTATATCTTGAACAGGTGATAACTGATCACATGGTCTAAGCAGTAAAATTATTTTTTAAGCTTACGAGTACGGTAGCAATTGTGCTAAGATTACAGTCATCAGCCATGACCAATCCACTGCTGGATGAAGGCCAACCCGGGCTGTAGGCATCCCTCCACGGCCACGCGATGAAATAATCCATGTGGATGCTGTGCACGAGCTGATTTTATCACTCGGTTATCTCGGGCAAGTTACATACTTCGGTTGTGACTCCTTTGTTCAGTCTCGACCACCCAGCAGCCACTTGCTTTTTCGTAAGAGTACGGTTGGCTACGTACGGTGCGAAAGAAGTTCAACATAGAGTCCTGTACAGTCGTCAATATTTCCAAAATATTTTAACCTCCATGCCACTCTTCCTGTACACAGTGTGGGAGAGCGTACGATATGTTTGGAGTGGTAATTCCACATTGCCATGGCCGGGCTTAAGTACGCCCAGAGTGGTATCCAATTCAAAGGCTCTACAACACTTTATAGGTTAGATCATTTAATATCAGCCATGGTCAATCCACTGCTGGATGAAAGCCTCCCAAAGCCACCGCCGTCTCTCCTAGCAGGTTTAAGGGCCATTGCCCGAAACATCGTCTATGGGTGTTATGTTTTTCACTTCCATTGTTAAGGCAAATGTTTTCGAGCAAGACGTTAAGCGGCACCTCGTCGCGATGGGCATGCAGGTTTAGGCCAGCGCACGTGTACAAGTGACACGTTCCTGTACAAGTGACACGAGTGTGTACAAGTGACACGCGCGTGTACAAGTCACACGTTCCTGTACAAGTGACACGTTCCTGTACAAGTGACACGCTCCTGTACAAGTGACACGCGCGTGTACAAGTGACACGCGCGTGTACAAGTGACACGCGCGTGTACAAGTCACACGCACGTGTACAAGTCACACGCACGTGTACAAGTCACACGCACGTGTACACGCCCCGTGCACACACGGACCATCACCGCAGCTCTTGTGCCAGGCTAGGTGCACTGTGATTTGACCGACACCTACATTAACACAGTGCACCCTACACTGCTCTTCACGTGAACACTCAGCACACCTCTTATGCCTTGAGCAGGTATTTTTGGTATACTGTACACGTACACACACACAATAACAATGTACAGCACTGTACAAGTATTTATGCAAAGCCAGCCGGCACGACGTTGTTTGACCACAACTCTCAACCCCGTAGCCCGCTGTCAGGTCGCGTCCACTCGCCACGGACGATGTCGGCCGTGGCCTGGGCATCGAACTCGGGCGGGACTGGGTCTTGAGGAGCGTTAATTGACCACTTCCACTGCGCCAAGTGCCGGGTAACTAAGACAAAGATCCCCGCCACCACCAGCACCGCCACTAGAACCTAAAACAGACTTTTGTGGCACCTACGAAGGCTACCGCCACTGTGTGGCCCTCCGGGGGGGGGGGGGGTGGCCAGCACCAAGCCCGGCCGCCTTTGTCTCCCCAACGCTGATAGACCTAGGGGAGAGCCCCCCGTGACCCCTTCAGACAATCGTCACTTGGTCCTGGTGCTGTTGTTGTTGGCCGTGAACGGGAGTCGAACCCGAGGCGCCGCTCCCCGTAGGCGAACCAAAGATAAAGGTTACCCCCCCTCCTCCCGTGTAGCCTTCACGGACTGTTGGGGCAAGTGCTTTTAGCGAGCGCCTATGAAGGAAACCACTGTGACACACGAAGGGGTGGCTATCACAACGCCCGATAGGAGTAACACACACACACAAGCGGGGGGTAACTTAGCAGACAGTCATATTGTCAATATACGACGTTGTGGAAGTTGTCCATGGAGGAGAGCGGGCAGGCGCGGGGTGTGGGTCCGGTTGCGACGGCGTTGACGCCGGACCCAGGGGAAGGGTCCTCCTGCTCCTTCTCCTCTCTTTAAACAAGCGGACAACATTGTACTCACAAACTTTGTCTTTTTCGCGTGGTCGCTCTCGTCCCCGAGCTTCTTCTCCTTCTTTTTATCCTTCTCTTTGAGACGCGCCATTTGATCTCCCTGGTACGGCTGCTTTGGCGTGTTGTCCATGGCTTGCTTCGTGTACGCTTGGCTGCTGCTGCTGCCTCTGCCGCTTGCTGTTCTTGTTGTTGTTTGTTTGTGGGGAGGAGATACAAGACGGGGTGGACAGGGGGGGTGTTTTTTTACGGACAAGGGGGGGCACGGCACACACGGGAAGAAGGGGCGTGGGTCGCCTCGAGCCGCCCGGAAGTGCGGCGCGTGATTAAAACACGTGCGTGCCTGGTAGAGTGCCGTGCTGAGTATACAATAATAATACTACTATTATTATACAATAATAAGTGTGCCGAGTCTATGATAAGTGTGTGCGTGTTGACGAACACTCGCGCCCGTGTCTCCCGTACAATCGTGGGGAGACGAAGGCGTCCCCGGCGTGGTGGCTGGCCCACGCTCAACCTTGCCCAGCCTTCTTCATTTGTGGTGCTCGCCGACAGCGCTTGCAGCCAGCAGTCTGTTGTGGCTATACGGGGAATGTTTTGTTGAATGTAACTATCCTGCGGAGCGGGTTGCGTGCTGCGCTACGAACCCCGGCGACCTGCCAGTGCTATGGATAAGGCCCATTGGGTGTGTAACACTACCAACGCAACAACTGATGTTATCGTACAGTACTGGACTAATTGTACAGTACCACGTGCGTGCGTATTCGTGTGCAATGCCCTACGCGTCCACGTCTCGCCACTGATGGCTACACATGTGTGCGTGGGAGCACTGCTTATACTATACGTGTGTACGATGCGTAACTTATACTACACAATGTATACACAGCGACCACTTACAGTATTGCACTCTTGTACATGATTGCATTCAGTGTGTGCATATACAGGTACACAGTTCTGCAAGTGTGGATGTGTTATGCGTGCATATGGAAATGTGTACATGTACGTGTGTCCATGTATATGCACGGAACTTGTATTGTCATCTGATAAACCGGTCATTGTTCAAATCTACCCAAAGGTCAGAGAAACCTAAAATATAGTACATGAAGCACGGTGCGAAATTTAAAAATAAGTATGGGACAAAATCAGCAAGGCGTATGAGTGGCGCTCATCACAATAGCCCCTCTTGGGAGATGTTAATCATCGTCACGCTGTAAAAGTGCTCACTTTGCTCCAATCGGTTCGACTGAGTTGTGCGTATATATGCAAGATTGAATCGAGTGTATGCGTACAAAGGCAAACGTGTGTGTGTCTACATATTGTTATAGATTGTAGGTATGCATACTGTTAAATTAGAAACCATGAATAATATCCAATCCAACGTGTATAGAATGTAGCTTCCAAGTCTACACATCTATGTCAATTATTCACAAACATCTTTAAAACCACAATGGACAATTCCAAGGCCAAGCAACATAAGCAAACTGGATTTATAAACGAGTCTAAAACTTTGATTTAAAGCTTTCGTGACTGCAGGGATTCATATTCTTGGTTCTTTCGGTAAAGTCACGTAGAAGGGAAACAATAAAATAATAAAAATATAAAACAATAAAATTATCACGACGTTTCGACTGCAACACAAGCAATCATCATCAGGTTGTTTCAAAATTTTCTTGCTGTGGTTTTCACACCTGATGATGATTGCTTGTGTTGCAGTCAAAACGTCGTGATAATTTTATTGTTTTATATTTTATTGTTTCCCTTCTACGTGACTTTACCGAAAGAACCAAGAATATGAGTCTAAAACTATAAACTAACCACAGTATAAACTATTTTTTTTATTTTACCAAGTCAGGCCCACTGACCTATGTAGCTATTTTTAGAAGCAACCGAGCCACAAATGATAGCTCAACGATGTGGCTTATAGTGTGGAAATTTATATACAGCCAAATACTATAAAAGCATGTTTCTTAATGTGGAGGGAAAAAAACATGCCATCATATTGCAGACAATTTCAAATACAGTTCGACTATGCCTGGCTTTTGTCGCTTTTCAGGAGACATTTGATCCAGTGGAAAGGGAGCTGCCATCAAGGGAAGGATGGCTCAAAATGGTGATCAGCGCAGCGGAGATGGAGCAATGAGATCGGATCATGTGCAGGAAATAAATTGGAGCAAACATGGAACGTTGTGCCAACGACATAAAAACTGGCCCGAAGTTGGTCCAACGTTGCATGTTTACTGCTTTACGACTGCGTGGGCAGGCCATCATCAGTGAACTGGTGGTGTTGATGATGATGAAGAAGAACATTCACAAATGAAAAACAATTCGTATACGATCACAAAACGCAATTGAATCGCGCATTTGAGCGTGCACGATGTGTGAAAATAATATGCAAATTATATGCAAATGTTATCTCTGGTTGTGTCCTTGGAGTGTGCTGTGCATTTCATTATTTAATACTAGCGGGAAGGACCCGGCGTTGCCCGGGCGAAAAAGACACACATCGACTTACACACACTATTACAGACATTGACCCACACACACAAACACATGGACTTACACACACACATATAGACTGACACACACAGACATTGACTTTAGATACACGTGGAGTTACACACACATATGGACGTACACATATCGACTAAGACACACACACATGAACTTAAACACACACATGGACCCACGCACACACATCGACTTACACAAACATCGACTCACACGCACGTACATAGACTCACACAACGCCCTACACACACAACAACAATAACCGCCATTCGCCACTAAGTGGCAGTGACGTCACCACGATGCTTGTGCCAGGCTATGTGCACCTTGAGGCCACGTGAAGTGTCGAACGCCCGCTGGCAGGTCACGGGGCAGACCCAGGTGCCACGGGTCGGCTGACTGAGACGACTGGCTGATGCACCACCTGTGCCCCCTACTGTGCCAACTTGCTGTGCTTTAGCCACCCGGCGCTCCGCTCGTTGTTGTGAGCGTCACTCCTCCACCCTCCGTTGTTGGAGGGCGACTGCCTCCAACTGCCCAGCAGCGTCCTTCACGAGCCTCCTCCACAGAGGCCGATCTTGACACCGCTGGTACCAGTCATCGGCAAGTCCACTCAGCTCCACATCCTCCTGTTCCACATCACTCCATCTCTTCTCTAGCCCGTGCCGCGCCCGTTTAGCCCCCTCGATCCGGCTGAACAAAAGCTGTTTGGGCATGCGGTGATTGGGCATGGGGGCTACATGGCCCAGCCAACGCAGCCTTGCCTGCCGGAGGAACTCACCGATGGGACTTTCTCCAGATCTTTCGAGGATTTGTGAGCTCACACAATCCAGCCTGGTTAAACCCAGGATTGATCGTAGGCAGGCCAGCCTTAATGTTTCTAACCGGCGAAGATGTTCCGTTAGGGTGGTCCACGTTTCGCAAGTGTAGTGTTAATGAATGGAGACCCAGTCTTCTTCTGGAGGCAAAACTTTTATTTAACAGTAATAACTATAACACGAGGTCCCTAACAAAAAGGGGTATCGGCCCCTCCACCCGATACCCTGGGGAGGTATAGCCTCCGGGCTAGCGTGTCCTACTCTCTGGGACCACTTCCTCTATATACCAGCCCTGCGGCTAGGGGGACCTAGGGGAAGCTAGCTGACCCGACCCAGCCAAGGTCCTCGGGTCCCGGCCACTGGCCTGCTCGGTCCCGGCCCTTAGAAGGACGTCAGGTCCGGGGGTTCCCACGGTCCTATTCTAGGCTGGCTCTTCGGGTCTTCAGCTTGACGACAACTGGCGAATCCGTTCAGAGGCCCGCCTTATATACAGCTCCCAGGGTCACTCCGCCCCTGGCCACGCCTCTGGAACCTTCTGGAAGGACCTGGACTATTGCGTAATCCCCCAGGCCCCCATTGGGGGCCTGGGGTATATACCTGCGGTTCCCAACCGCCCTCTGGGTTCCCTGGCCTAACGGCGTTACTTAATACAGACCGTACTCGCTGTCGCCCCCTGTTGACCGATGGCTGGCACTACACCAGGTAAGTAGCGGTGACCGCGTATAACGCTATCAACAACCACTACACAAGCGTAGAAAAGGGAGGCAATGACTGTGGCCGAGATGACCTGTGCGGTCCCCCTTCTTAAAGAGGGGACCACCAGGGTATCCTTCCAATCCTGCAGAACCTGTCCAGTGGTCCAGACTGTTGTTATGATGTCATGTAGGGCAGTCTGTGCACAAACGCCACCCTCCTTCAGCATTTCGCTGGGGAGATCATCTCTGCCCGGTGCTTTTCTTGGTCTCAGACTCTGGATCGCCTTGAGTACTTCCTCAACAGATGGCACCTCAGCCAGCCACTCACAGGGGGTGACTTCTTCTTACAATATTTGAGGCACCGCAGCCTTGGCAGGGTCATCCCCACTTTGTCCCACGTTATCCAGGCTGAGGGATGTCCCCTGCCCCAGGACCTCACAGAAATGCTCAGCAAATCTGCAAACCTGTTCCTGGGGGTCAGAGATGGGATCATCGTTCTTTCCCCTAATGATGGTAATAGGTGTGGCGCTGCAGGTTACTTTTTTTATGGAATTAAAGAGCGATTTGTGATCGTGGGCCATTGAGACAGACTCCATCTCCTCAGCAACCCGCAACCACCACCCATCCTTGCAGCGTCTCATGGCTCTCTGAACCTCCCAGCGAAGGCTGCGGTAAGCCTCCTCATTCTCCGACGTGGGAGAATGAGGAGGCTTTAAACACACACATGGACTAACACACACACATCGACTTACACACACACATCGACTTACACACACATGGATCCACACACACATCGACTTACACACATACATCGACCCACACACACATAGACTTACACACACACAGCGACTCACGCACACCGACTTTAGATATACACACACATGGAGTTACACACAAATATGGTCGTACACATATCGACTCAGACACACACACATGGACTTACACACACACATGAACCCACGCACACACAGCGACTCACACACATACATCGACTTACACACACATTGCCCTACACACATACACATATGGATTCACAGACATCGACTTGAGATGCACACACGTGGAGTTACACACACACACACAGCGACTCACACACATGGCCTTACATCCACTCACACACACATGGACTTCCACACACATATGGACTAACACACACATACACATCGACGTACACACACACACATTGACTAACACTTAGACACACAAACACATCGACTTACACACGTACATAGAGCCACACACACACATCGACTGACACGCAGACATTGACTTAAACACACACAGCGACTCACACATACACATAGACTGACACACACACACATGGACTGACACACACAGACACATCGACTCACACGCACACATCGACTTAGACACACGTAAATATAAAAAATGTACTAACTTAAAATTTAAATATTAGTTGTCTACACACACACCACGCACACACATTGACTAGCACACACACATCGACTGACACACAGATCGACTCACACACACTAATGGACTCATACGCACACATGGACTTACACAAACGCACAGCGACTTACACACACAGACATATCGACTTACAAACAAAC